GTTTTGAAAGTACACTGTCTGTGTTAACTTCAACAGAGACTGCAGGATTCTGCTTTACAAAACAATGAAACTGCAAAAAAAAAAGCACTGTTTGGAAAAGTCAGAATATATTTTTAAGGCAATCTCTTTTGGTAAATAAAACCACTGCTGAAGCAATAGCAGTGATGGAGGATATGTAAAACAGCCTAGGGAAACCTGCACCCTTCTGGAGCCAGGCAAAATATTTAGGTTCGGATAACACCATCCACCTTTACCCCCAGCACTGCTGTGAAGTATCTCACCTCATCTGAAATCAGCATGCAGTGAAATAGGAAAGTGCTTCTCCCTTCCCAGCCCTGAGGAGGAATGTGGCCTCTATAAACGCTGAGGGACTTGTTATTTTACGCAATAAGATTTGATTATGTATTTTGCTAGAAATACCAAGGCTAGAAAAACATGACAAGCAATCATTCTACACTCAAGACATCCATCTTTATAAATAATAAATATAAGCACTTTTCAGCTGCAACACTGAGACTGGAATAAAGAGGTTTTTGAACACTGGCTGTTTCCCTTCAAACTAATGGAAATTAAATGTCAGAATTACCTGCTCCTTTGGTGTCAGACAAATGACATGTGAAGTGAGTTGAGAGGAGGTATGGGGATGCATAAAAACCTAGATGAATGGAAGATGACCAGATGTCAAGTTTAAAGTTTGTAATATCTCTGTTCACAAGAATTCAAAAGCCAAAGCCTGTGTGCCACCTCCTCCTGGATATGCCTTGCAGTCAGAGGACCTTTAACCTGAGTGAGGTGGCTGTGATTTGTCTGTGAATCTGTGGCGAAGGGTCAGGAGGAAGAGCAGAGTCTGCACAGTTTGCCATCACTTTGGGGCAAAGAGCCCATTTCTCATGTCAGAAGCAGATGGTCCCTACATGAGGCCACATGAAACCAGCCCCCCAGTTCCCATGGGAGTTACCCCCCTGAATGCAAAGTGCCAGGGCTGGGGAGGCTGGGCTGCAGCTCAGGTTGGGTTTGTGCGGGAAGATCAGTCCATTAGTGACAGCTCCCTTTCCCTCACCTTCCCAGCCCGGCCTGAAATGGGTTTCGCTGATCTGTTGCACACTGTAAAAGCCTTGAGGAGTAGGGAAGCAATAGCAGCTGCTCTCATTTAACCCAGCACACTGTCATCCCGGGAAATGCCATGTTATGTCAGAGTCATTTCCAGCCTGTAAGCAGCAATTGAAATACCTACAGAGAAGGAAAAAGAAAACCGGGGTGTAACTCTTCTCAATAGCAGCTGATAGCAGTTGTGCTCTGTTTGTCTTGTGCCATTTGTTCCATGCCAGTATTGCATTTATATTTTTCGTAGTCACTATTATTTTTTCTTTCTACAGCAGGAGCTCACTTTTACAATGTCCATATCCTGATGTCTGAAAGCAAAATTCACTGTTTTCCAGCAACGTTAGCGGGTCTTCTGTTCAGGCATCTGTTGTTGGGGCCCTGCTGGAGGCAATTCAGCCTGGTTCACCAGAACCAGCTGCTGAAGCCACAGGTGGTTAAATGCTGGCTCCAGCAAGCTAGGCTCTTCCACACTGGTTCCTGCTCCCCAGCTGGGTAAGGGAGCCACAAACCTTCTATTGGGCTGCACAGGTTTTGCCTTCTGCTACTCCTGTCCCAGTAGAGCCAGGCCCAAAGGTCCATTTCCTGTCTAAGAAGAGATTCAGTCTTTCCTCACCAGTTCTTGGCCTCATTTGTTGCGATCTGGGAGACTGTGGTAGGGATCACTCCTTCTCATTAGAGGTATTCAGTATAGGGCAAATTTTCTGGGCAATAGCCTCATTTTCTGCCTCCAAAACCATTTTGGGGTGTGTGGGGAACGTGCCATGC